GGCCGTTTATACGTACATCACACAAACAATCATAACAACTGGACGTATGTAATACGGTAACACGTACATTATACAAACAAACATAAAAGCAGAATGTATAGTGTACAGCTACACATACATGTACATTGCACATCCAAACATAACAACAGGACGTATACAATACGGTTACAGGTACATTACACAAACAAACATAACAACAGGACGTATGTTATACAGCAACACAAACATTACACATCCAAACATAACAACACGACGTATGTTATACGGTAACACGTACATTACACAAACAACATAACAACAGGACGTATTTTTTACGGTTACACGTACATTACACAAACAAACATAACAACAGGACGTATGTAATACGGTTACGCGTACATTACACAAACAACATAACAACAGGACGTATTTCTTACGGTTACACGTACATTACACAAACAAACATAACAACAGGCTATATGTAATACGGTTACACGTACAATACACAAACAAACATAACAACAGGACGTATGTTATACGGTAACACAAACATTACATATTCAAACATAACAACAGGAAGTATGTTAACCGGAAACACGTACATAACACAAACAAACATAACAACAAGACGTATGTTATACGGTAACACAAACATTACATATCCAAACATAATTACAGGACGTATGTAATACGGTAATACGTACATAACACAAACAACATAACAACAGGACGTATGTTATACGGTAAAACAAACATTACACATCCAAACATAACAACAGGACGAATGTAATACGGTTACACGTACATTACACAAACAACATAACAACAGGACGTATGTAATACGGTAACACAAACATTACACATCCAAACATAACAACAGGAAGTATTTTATACGGTAACACAAACATTATACATCCAAACAAAACAACGATATTTAAATGTCCTCAAACTGCATTACATGTGCTTTTGATTTGTTTAGGGCCATTTCTCCTAACCGTTAAAAAGCATCAAAGGCGAGTAGGTACATGGCTTTTATCATACAGGCTTGCTAAAAGGTAACCTTTTGTCGGGACGGTATGAACCCTTTTGTATTGCAGTTACCAACTTTTAACCACAAAGGATTGGGTAGGGTCAGTGTGACCAGCAAGGCGGTTGCTTTAACCAATGGTTGCAATGTATGTACAAATGGTTGACGTAGCAAAGTGTTGCTGATGTAGATGTGCAATGAAATACACTTATGTGCCGACTGTTGTAGGCAAACATGTCTGGAGATGTGATGTGCTGACTACAAATTGTTGGAGGGAATTAAAAGCCCGTCTGTACAATGCCTGATATTGTGAAGCCAGCGCATTCATCAGCAGGTTTTGGATATGTACATGTGTTCCTAGATGGTCTGGAATACATGTTGCCTCCTTGTCCATCTGAAGAGCCCTAAGCCGAAAACTTTCTGCCTGTAAACGAGACAGATGATCAGCCAGAATGTTTTTTTTTACCCATAATGCGTTCTGCGTAAAACATGAAATTCAACTGTAATTACTTAAGTACTAATTTCTGAACAAGCCGCATAATAGTGGGGTCCTTGCTGGTATGGCTAGTAAGAATAGCTACAACACCTGAATTGTCACAATGAAGCAGAACACATTTGTTCTTGAGAGAATCCCTCATAGCTGTACTGCTAGTACAATCGGAAAAATGCTCTTTAATGTTGATAAGGTACCCTTCTAATTGTTGTGGCCACTTTCCGAAAAAAACATTTTGTTCCTAAAACTGTGTCAAAACCTAGCCCGCTAGCATCTGTATACAAATGTAAGTGACAGGACGACTCCCAGATGTCAGGTAGAAATATGGAAACACCATTGTAAGAATGGATGAATTCCTGCCATGCCCTTATATCAGCTCTAGCCTCTTTGTTGAGGCGGATATGATGATGAGGTTTGGTTAAACCTTTGGTTAGATATATTAAACGTCTTAAAAAAGGACCACCCGGAGAGATTACAGAACAAGCAAAATTGAGCAAACCAATCAATAACGGAAGTTCCTGTAGGGTAACTTTTATCTTATGACAGAATTGTGCCAAAAGAAGGTGTATCTTTTCTAGTTTTTCCTTTGGGAGCCTAGCCTCCATCTGAATACTACCAAGTTCGGTTCCCAGAAATGTGATAATTGAATAGGGTATAACTGTTGAAGTTTTTGGTGCTATAAAAAAGAAATCATCTAAGATGTGAACAATGCCTGCTGCCTGTAATTTTGTTTCAAAGATCCAATGAAGTGTTGTGCTGAATGTCTCAAAAAGACGACATGATATAGAACAACCCATTAGTAAGGCTTTGTCCTAATAACAATATTCCCCAATGTTCATGCCTAATAAGCTGTAGTCCTCAGGATGTATAGGTAAAATACGAAATGCATTTTCAATGTCTGTCTTTGCTAGCAGTGCCCCTTTACCAAAAATTTTGATCAGGCCAATCGCATCTGTAATGGTTTGGTAGTTTGGTATATGACTGCGACATCTTTAGGGGCAATATTGTCATTAATCGAAAGACCTTCCGGAAAAACGATGCCTAATGGGGAAATTTGCAAATTTGAAAATGTGGGGGGGG